TCTGCTGCTTTGCCAGTGTCCAGGTCATCACTGTAAAAGACTCATTTATTTTAAATGGACTTACTTGGTGAAATAAAGGATAAAACAAAAACTTTCAGGTTTTCTCATATGAGTACATTATAATTCGGTTTTCCCTCTGTAGCTCAACTGCTAAATGTGCTTCTGCCTGGAAGCCCTTTAAGAGCTTGCAGCTCGACCCAGACGTGTGAAAGATAAAGACTAGGGCTTCCCTCTCCTGTCCTTTCGCTACCTTTGTCTTTTTCCCTTGCCTGTCTCTTCTGGTTTCCTTTTTCTCTACTCATTTATTCCTGTTTTTATGATTTTATTAATGTTGGATTACCACAGTTTGTTTAGGTCTTTCATGCCATGATGATTGTTCACATTTGTTAATTTTGTGTGTGGTACCATGTAATATTCTTTCTTTCCCCCGAAAACCCAATCAACAAATTGAACAGAAACTGAACATAATGAAGCTGTATTTCGCTTTGTGTTTCCTAGGCACTTTGCCCTACCCCAACCTGGAGACCTCAGAGGAGGTGGTTTTTCACATCTGCTCTGGGAACAGGATGAGAATCCCGGAGACATGCAGGCCTGAAATGTGAGCTCTTGGCTTCTTTTAGACCTGTGTCCCAAGTAAGACCACAGTGGCTTGAATGTAATAATGCTTGTGCAGCGAGTTCTTTGTTTCTCTGATTGTGCTGAACTGTGCCGTATAAGGGTTTTTAAGTCGGCTCGAGCTGATGAGATCAGTCGGGGAGCGCTTCTCCTCTCTTGGCTCTGCAGTCGCTGTTGGGGTCTTGGCGGGTGGGGCACTGACTCCCATGCTGTACAGAAAAGAAAAGAGACACAGTGTTTTGGCTGTGGACCCTTCTTCAGGTGTGTCAGAGGTGAGGGATCTACCGAGGTGAGTTATAGTTATCAAAGGAGGATGATATGGAGCTGTTAGCTGTAAAAATTCCCTTGCTTCTTTGATGTTTTTGTCAGAAAGAGAAAGAGTGGTAGAAAGAACTAGTTTCTTGGAAAACGGTTGCAGACGTCTCTTGGTGGTGTCCGTGTCAAAGGAATAAGTGTTAGATTTCAGACGAGCTCCTTTGGGAGCGATGTTGTGATGATGACTTGTGTAGAGGAAGAGGGGGTGGTGAGAAAGCCTGGTGTTGGAACAGATCTCTGTGAGGAGAACGAATGCCTGTTTGGTGAGAGGAGGGGGCAAGTAGCCCAGGGAGGCGGAGAAGGCAAAGAGCTCCAGAAAAAGATTTAGCAGAAGGCACAGTGGGTCGCAGCAGAAATGGGCTGAGGAATTCGAAGTAGAGATCCGCGCAAGCATGCGTAGGCCGGAGGCTCCATGACCAAGACGTCGTCCGTTCTCTTTTTCCCTTACAGCGTGGAATAAACTGTCACCAGTTGCTTTGCAGCCTATGCATGCTGACGCAGCTCCCTGCTTGAACTTCTCTCTGTCTTCTCCCAGCATGCAGATGATGGAGGACTGCTGGCTGGAGCCCTATACCCGCCGCCCCTCATTCTCGGACATCATCGGCATCCTGGAGAACATCTTGGAGAACGACGCTGTGAGCAGCTCGCTTTTATTCTCATAGATCCTGTTTCAAGAGGTTTAGGCTGCGTATGCGAGTCCCCTTTCTGCTAGCACCACACAGCGCAACCTCTGCTGAAAGGCGCTCTTAGATAATGGGTAGAGATAGTGGAGTTGCCAGGCTTTCCAGGGAATTCCCTGAGAATTCGGCATGCTCTTATCCAAGACTTGCCCTGCACTGCACATGTCATCGCACACGCCTCGCAAGCGCCAACAGGACAAACGTCCCTCCGAGGAAGGAGAAGGAGTCCCTCTGAAACCAATGGTGCTCAGTACAGTCCAATTCCGACACCTGACGATCGTAAACGCAAAGACCTGCAAGCATTCGTGCTTCTGCTGTCGTCTCTGCTGGGTCTGGAGGCATCATGGTGCTGAGTACTCCGCGGCTCATCTCCGAGCACAGGGCAGGTTGGGGCCTAGGAGCTGGGATTGGGGGGGGGGGTTTGTGCTGATCGAGAAGGAGCAATGTGCTGAGGGACTGGAGCACAGCATAGCAGGATGTGGGAAATCTCCACCTTCTGACCTGACCGCTTTCTCCAGATACACTGTCATTGTGTGAGGAGAATGGTAACAAAGGAGGTAAATTAAAGGTGTAGTTAAAAACAACAGAAAGTCACTCTGGTTGCCATTATCAGTTTTGGAGCTTGAACTGTGGTTAGAAATGAAGCAGGAGACCCAGCTCACCTCAGGGGACAGAGGTAGTGATCAGCGCTGGCCTTGGTGTGATCCCTCTGTGCTGCTGTGCGCCTGTCTTGCAGGATTATGTCGATGTAGACAACAAGAGGCTGTTGCCCACAGTGACGGGGGCGTCGGGCGACTGAAGCTCCCGTCGCCTGCCGCCGCCTGGATCCCAGCGATCGGAGGACTTGGCTTCCCTCCGCGTGATCCCATTCCCGAAGCACAGAGCCGGGAGCGGGAGCCGGGACTCCTGTGGGATTCCTCCGCGCCACCACGCCTCCAGCCCCGGCAGAGCCGGAAGCAGCAGCACTTCCTGGACGGTTGGATTTCCGTGAGGAGCATCCGTACGGAACGAGACGGTGCAGTTCTGAAACAATTCAGGGGCCCGAAGCTCAAATTTGTGGGCAGAGACACGCAGGAGTCTCCACATGTCAAAAGGGAGGGTTTTAGTCTCTGGACTACGTTACCTTGGCCTTGCAGGGCCTTGTGCAATCCTGCACTGCGATAGCATAAGGTGTGCGACTCCCTACACGAGGGAAACGAGACAAATAGGGTTTTTTTCTTACACTAAGCACAGAGTTCAGTTCTGCAGTTGCTGTTCAAACTGGCCTGCGGTTCAGCGACAGAAGGATTACTTCAGGGTTTCACAACTGTTGCCGACTCCTTATTTAAAAAAAAGTTTTATTTAAAATCTACCAGTTGCTTCTGGATAATGGATAATGCTTTTGCATTTTTCTTGACTTCCTTGTCGACAATATACCAGCCCTGTAGCAGAACCTGTCCAATATAGCTGTGCAATATTGAAGAGACTTTCATGGTTTCCTCTAGGAAAATACACTGTTAACAGATGAACTGTTTTTTTATTTATTTTGCTAATGTTTTGTCTTTTCATACTATGCATCACCCCCAACACTTCACACCACGCTGTGTTCCAGAAGGGGCCATAAAGAAAGCACTATTGGTCGGTTCTTCTCAAGGATACTTAAAAATCATTTACGCTGTATTTATTGTGGCAGTATGTTTTTCAATTGCTTCTGCACGATTCTGCACGTACTTGGTGTGATTCAATGATGTACTGCACATGTTCCTTCTTCCAATATTGATATTTGAGCTACAGCAATAAAAGATAATAAAGGTTTGCTGGGCAAAGTCTAAATTTCACTTATCCGAGTCCCTTCCATAGATAGAAGTACATTCTTACTTTCTTTTATAATATAGTGTAACCTATTTAACATTTCTTTACAAATTACTTATTTACTATCAGCGTTCTAGATTTATATTGAATATAAATATACAGTATTCACCTCTTCAGTTTGAAAAGGGTTTGCTCGCATGATTGCAAACCCATGCGAAGCAGACACCCAGAGCAGAGGTGAGAGATCAGTTCTGGTGAACCTTGAACCTTGAATGAACCTCCTTCAGCCCGGCGAGCCGGTCCCTTCAAAGCCGGTTTCATCAGTAATAAACCGTGGAGCCCCGCCCCTCAGCGACCGCCCACCGCAGCCTCGACTGAGCGGCGCAGCCAATCAGCTTCGCGGAAGAACACGTGACTCCACCCCGCCCCGTCGACTGTTTCCTCAGCGGGTAATTAATGCGTCTCTGGTGCAGCGGAGACTTGAATTTATTTAGACAGTCTTTCGAATAACAATCGTGGGGTTTTTTTCCCGTTCATCGTTGCGATCCATTGATAACGTTTGCTCTTCGCTTTTCGGCAGCCAGCCGCCTTGTGCGTGTTGACGCTGTAAATAAACATGAGTTTCGTCCGCTTCCTTGAGTGGGTCTTTTTCTTGTATTTTGCCTCCCACATTCCGATTACTCTCTTCATCGACCTCCAGGCTCTTCTGCCCGGCGAACTTTACCCTCAAAGCGTAAGTAAGACTTATTGTGACCGCATGTGCATGTGTACTTCACTACAGTAGCTGGTCTTTAACTTACCCGTTAGCTAATCGGTAACCACCGTGTGCGCCGTGTTGATCTCTGTAGGATTTGCAATATCGGCTAAGGGTCATATACCAGAGGTCGGTGTTAAACCAGAGACGCGGCAAAACGTTGTTTTAATATGAATTAAAATATGCTGGTTAAGCACTGTTCGCTCTAATCGTCCACATTGTCTGTGAAATGAATTCCTTTGGACTTTTATACCGGCTGGCTGTAATGACAGATGACATGTTCTGTGCACCCGTTGCCGGATAATTGCAGTGCTCGTTTCTCTCGGCTCGCAGCTGAAGGATGTGTTACGCTGGTATGCAGCCCAGTTCAAAGACCCGATGATGCTGGATCCCCCAGCCTGGTTCAAATCTTTCATCTTCTGCGAGGCTCTTCTGCAAACGCCCTTTTTCCCCATCGCGGCTTATGCCTTCTACAAAGGTGAGTGGATTCACAGAGCGCCCCTGGTCGCAGCCTGATCTCCTCAGATCCCCGCAGATCTCAGAAGCTCAGCCAGGCTGGGAGATGGGAGAGCTCTCAGGACAGGCCAGGCTGCTGCTCAAGGTGCTGTTGGTGGACCTTCCCTCTGATCCTCAATTTCTGCACTCAGTGCGCTGGTGTCTGTTGGAGGTGCCTGCCTTCTGGTGAGATCTTAGGCTGAGATCCTAAAACTTTTGGTCGTTCATCGAAGATCACCAGGGACTGTGCAGAACAGTAGTGGTGTTAGTCCTGGTGTCCTGGTCAAATTCCACCCTGGACATCATCTCCCTCCCTTCATCCCTGATATTCCCTCCCTGGTCTCACATGCAGGGGGGGTTGGTTGCTGGTTCAGCATGGGTGCTGCCCTGCAGTGATGACTGAAGTAGATCCCCTGCTGTACACGGAGAGCTTTTTGGAAGTTAAGCCATGTACACCTCCGATGAGTTATTCCTTATCGAGGAGATGAAAAGCGTAATGTTGTGTCCGGCGTGGTTGTACAGAGAGCCGAATGCAGGTGAGCGTGCCTCGGGCGGTATTTTCAGCTGCTCTCTCCGCTGTGTCGTCTATGCAGGAGGATGCAGGTGGATCCGGACTCCTGCGATTGTCTACGCCACCCATGTGGCGACCACGCTGATCCCCATCCTGGCTCACATCCTCTTCTACCGCTTCCCGGAGGCGCCCCACCCCGGCCCCCAGAGCCCCCAGGAGCGCCTCGCTCTGACGGCCATCTACGCCCCATACCTCCTCATTCCCATCATCCTCCTGCTCACCATGCTGCTCAGCTCGGCCTACGGGGCGGCCGCAGCCCCGGCGAGGGAAGGTAGGGCAGCGAGCAAGAAGAAGAGATAGGCTGCGGGCGGCTCTCGTCCGCGTGCTCTGCAAGGCTCCCCCGTAAATCGTCCAGCCGTGTTTTTTACATTTTTTTTTAACCTGTTTTTGCGTTGCAAGTAATTTAGGAGCGCATGCCAGCCCTGTGATGGTGCATGGCCATGGCAAAGAGTGGATGAGGACGTGCACGTTGCTCAGACAGACGGATTTACCTAAAAAGGACGATCGCAGAGTCGGGGGTCTTTGTAGTGACTGAGGACGCTGAAAAAGCTGGAGTACCTCAGTCGGTTCACTTGGCGTGGGAGCATTATGCCTTGGGTCCCCAAAGACAAGTGCACACATTACACCTGAAGGAGACCACTTGCTGAGCTGGCTGACTCGCTGGCCCATCACAGGGACTGTAAGCATACAGCATCAACAGGATTGATGAAAAAATATAAAAACAAATGCCACTGAATTGTTTCCCGCATCCCATGTGTTGACTGTCCTTTTGAGAAGGATATATGCGTCGACTTCAAGTTAAACCTGGCCTGCTCCGCTGTTATTTGACTTCCACGTTTTCTGTCTAGTTGACTAGGATGTGCTGGTGATCACTCGGCTTCTGTTCCTTTTATATAGACACTTCACGTGAAATCAGCAAAATACCTTTGTGCCCAAGTTTAATTCCTAGCACTTGTGCCAGTCTGGGTAAGAAACAAATGTACATGTAGTATTCAAAAAACGTCACCAAGGAGTTCTGTGTGGGTTTTATGTGCTAAAACTGTACATTTTCTGGATTCTCCTGAATTTGAGTGTTTTAAATAAGAGTGCACTAGAAAACGCATCAGCTAATGTCTTCACAGCAGCTTCTTCTCAGACAAGATTGATTTACACTGTTTACATTTTTCACCAATTGTGTTCTTCCGCTGGATATAATTTTTTATTTATTTATTAAATGTCATTCCAAACCCAAGGACGTTGATTTTGATGATAATAATAGTCGAGCCCAATTTGCTGTGTAGTGTGTCGGCAACACTTCAGTGGTGAATATTAATCCTTAGTCTTATTTTACAACGTCCTTGAGCAGTTTTGATATAATTGATCCTTCTCTGTGTATGCAAAGGAAAACTCTTAACAAACTAGTAGTTGCAAGACAGAATCGTAGATTATGGTGCACAAACTTCCAAGGCTAAAGACACAAAGACACAGGCATTATATATGATTTTATTCAATTGAACCTTTTTATTTAAAGAGCTTGTTTTCCAATTGCTTTTATCTTTAATCTGTAGTACAGTTGACACCAATGTATATGTCTGCTGACAAAAAGCAAAAGGAATAATACCTTGAATTTCACTGTATTATATGTACTTCACTTTCAAATAACTGGCCATAAAATGGACTGATTTCTCATATAAGATGATATCATAAAGTGATATAAGCACCTTGGGCAAGGATAACACAAATATGCAATTTTTGGTTTGGTCCCATTAAAAGATATTTAAATATTAGACCTGGATTACACACACTAAAGCACAGATAAAAATGGAATTCAAAATGCTATAAATGGCTATAAAACACACTTTACAACCATAAACAAAAAGTTTACAAGATTATGAAAATGGATTTTTATACTGGATCATGCAACTGTTTTATACAAAAGGTAACAAAACTAGCTTTACAGAATACCCATCAGATATAAATAGTATAAATAATATGAGTTCATTGGTAGGTAAATATGTTTTTTTCCTTTGTGGTGTGAAAGGTAATGCTAAAGATATTTCAGATATCTGGCTCATTCCATCCACTTCTTAGAAAACTCAGTCATCATGTGGTCATGGAAAATTAAGACAGAAGCTGGTAAGAATTGTGGTCTTCTGTGTAAATAGGGGAATGAAGAAGTGAAATGTTACCATCATTTCTTTTTAGCTACCTACTAATATGTAGGTTGAGCTGTGCAGGGGTGGCATTGCTTGTCTGCAGTCTAGGTTCTCACGACCTGAGCAGTTGTCAGTTGAGTTTGTTCTGAAGGAGTCCTTCCAGCTCTCCAGTTTGCCTGAACAGAGGCTCTGTTTGCTGGTATCCATGTACTTCTGAAAGGAGTCAGTCCTAGAAGAAACATCCCGTCTGCCCATCTGCACGACAGCAGGCGCGCCGACCCGAGCTCACGCCCACAGGGCGGCCACGGAAGCAGCTCTTACTTCTGAAGGATGAACTGATCGATGAACTCGTTTTGCTCTGCTTCTACTTTGGACAGCGCTTCGTACTCAATCCTATACCTGTATACAGAACGTAGTGACAAAAAAAAAAATCAATCTCAGCTCTCTTTACTTAGCCCTCATCTCTTTAATTATGGCAGAAATATCTAAGGAATTGAAAGATTTGTGTTCACTTTCTCCCCCCTACCTCTGCTGTACTAAATCATGAGACAAATTCAACACCTTATCTTTCCTATGTAGGCCACTTATTGACCTTTATGTGCAGTGCTTAGTGATGGAACAATTTAGTTGATGGGACACAACGCTTTAAATGTAGTGCCCCAGCAACCACCATGCCCTGTGACTTTGGGAGAATGAATTCACACCAGTTCAAGAAGCATCAGTGAGTATTTACACTAGATAACACCGAGTGTAAATGCTCCCCCTTCCATATGAACTAATGCAGTAAGAGTTGTGAAGTCTTACCTCTCCAGCTGCATCTTCTTCTCTGCGATCAGAGCCTGGAGCTGCTGCTGTTGGGCCTCCCTCTGCTTGGCCACTGATTTCAGGAGGTTCCTTGCACCAATAGCCTGTAGGGGGCAGCACAGGACACAGTCAACAAGGAGATCACCTTTTTTGAGGAGTTGTTTTACTAAGGTGCAAAGGCAGGTGCATTTCAGATAGTTTTACAGGCTGTGGGAAAAGCAGGATAGGAGAAGATTCATTTCAGGTGTTAAACAACAGTATTGGATAGCTACAGTGACTGAGAGATTGTCTTGCAATTTACCGTCTTGTTCATGACGTGAAATCATTAATGATTGAACCCGTACCTTCATTTTCTCTGTCTCAGCCTCTTTTGCCAGCTCGTCCACCAGCTCTATCAACCCTCCAACAATCTTCTGAAACTGGCCAATCTCTGAAACAGAAACAGTCTGACCCTCGGCTCCTGCATAAAACTTACCTGGATTATTTTTTAAATATGCAATACCAAATTTAAAGGTTTTCTGTACAGAAATGTGTATAATTATCAAGTCAATTTAAAGCACTACCAATACATGAATGTTAATGTTGTCATTAGATAAGTGCAAAGACATTTTAAACTACTCCACTTCCACACTACATTAACAATTTCCATGTGCATGTACCACAGCCCCTCGAACTTGGCTAAAGATTTACTTTAATCTTTCAATTACAGTCATATTTTTCTGCCACTTTATCCTGTTTTTAATGCTTCCTTTAATGTGGGTTTGTACAGCATCTTGAGATGCAGAGCATTAAAACTGGTGCTTTAGAATTACAATTGAATGGCACACAAAACAATAATAATTGCTTACACTTATATAGCGCTTTACTGGACACTCTACTCAAAGTGCTTTACAGATAATGGGGACTCCCTCCACCACCACCAATTATGATTATTAACAATTTAACGGCACACAAAAGCTACCGGCCCATTTTGATTCCTGGGATTGGGCGGAGCAGTGGCTCTGTGGCTCAGGATCTGCGCCTGTGGCTAAAAGATTGCTGGTTCAAATCCCGCAGCCGGCAGAAGAATCCTACTCCGTTGGGCCCTTGAGCAAGGCCCTTAACCCCAACCGCTCCAGGGGTGCTGTACAATGGCTGACCCTGCGCTCTGACCCCAAGCTTCTCTACCTGTCTGTGTGTCTCATGGAGAGCAAGCTGGGGTATGCGAAAAGATAATTCCTAATGCAAGAAATTGTAAAGGGTTAATAAAGTGATGTTGTTATTATTAAGCATTCCTGCCCGTCTCCCCCGGCTGCTCCACCTGCTCCACTTACTCTCCACAAAGTCTCGGCATTCCTCCTTCAGCTCGGTGGTCTTCTGGGCCACCTCGGGCTCCAGCACGCGCAGCTTGTTGAGCTCGTCGAAGTGGAGGCCGGCTTCCGCCAGCGAGTCCTTCGCCATGATTGGTGGGCGGGCCGCGGGAGGGGCTTGTGAAAATACGTCATAGAGACATGTTTAGCACGGTGCAGCCTGTCCTTAAAAAACAAAACAAAAAAAAGCCTGTGTGAAGGGGTGCATGACTACGCGAAGCATCCCCCAAATGTGGTGTAAGCTTGTTCTAAACAGTCACCGTGACGGCAGTTTCTGATCACTGCTTTGCACACAAAACAGGGAAAACGCACGATACGAAACTTAAAGAAACTAAACCTTCCTTTTTTGTCCCTCTGTTAACGGTAACACAAATCCACAATGTAGACACCAATGTTCGGGGTACATTGCAGGTGGTTTAAGAAAATACATACCTAAATGACGGACTGATAACGAGAGGACGAGAAATGCAAAACGTAGTGTAACGTAAGCCTTAACAGTTTTAAGTAGTTCTTGTCTTTCTCTGAAACTGAAAATGTTGCATAGCCAAGAATTTAACGTGCTTATTTACAGGTATTCCAAAGAAAAT